TGCAGTTTCTGCAATAAAAGACTTGCGACGTTTCATGCCGAATTATTTCTCGACACCGTTTAACTTTCTTTTACGATTTTATAACAATCAACCACGTTATCGTTGTTCATTTAAATCTCAATTGCACATCGTCAATTGCACATTGTAAACTAGAATTACATCCGATGTGTCTAAGAAACGATGAAATTTGTTTCCGACTGTTGGAATCGAGAGCTTAATGTACGTTTCTGTCTTATTCCCAGTTTCTTTCCAAGAGGAGAGTCGTAATTCTAAAATAATAACTCGTATTGTAAGAAAACAGAGAAGTTGTCGGGAGCGTAATTGCACGTACCGAAAGAAGAACAAGAACTAACTTGATAACGATCGAAAAGTACGAGACGTAGTAGATGTTAACAGGCAGTCGGAGGAATATAACAGCACGTTTCGTAATGAAGCTGAGAGTTGAAGTATAATAATCTGAAGCATAATAATCGCCGTAGCTACCGAGGAAGTCTCGCGTCTAAGAAAGTTAGGTGATCCCAGAATTTGGAACGGCGATGCATTATCCGGACTGCGAAATTTCGCCCTGTCCGTAGAAAATTTGCGAACGTACACGATTCGCCCGCAGCGTATCACAGCGTGACACCGAATAACGGGTCGCACATGCACCGTTCTCTTGCACCCTGTGCACTCATACAACCGTTCGAAACGAACAACTTCCGGAGTGAAATATACCGCGCCTCGAAACCACGACAATTTTTGCAATCCGCTAGGATAATATTAACAGGCGCCAAATGTTCGGAAACTAGCGCGACCTCGAAGGCAAATTTTCACCGCGTTCGTTCATCTTGCAGGAAAACGCATACATATAAACGATACCGTGGATGTCGTTAAGTTATTTACGTTTCCCTTGAAATACCTTTATTATCCAAAGTTTCGATGCAACGAAAATAACTGTCCTTCCTGGCCGCATTCTGTCAACGCTATTGATAGAATCGAGACAAGTTCTGCTATAACTAATATACCCTATTTATGTCCCAAATTGGTATTTTTGTATCGGAACCTTCTGTACAAAATTTAGATCGTTGGTATTCCATTTTTTAACGTTGAAGGCATAATTTATAGGATCATTAGGAAAATTGCTCGCGAATGAAGTAAAATGCAATTAATTGATTTTGAATTACATGGGAAGGACATACTCCTTGATAATCATATTTCGAGCATACGAAGGCACACTACGCGATTACGATATCTGATTGTACTGACTGTCAATTATTGTCATTTCCATTGAAGTAATGAGGTCATATTGCAAGCACTCAGCTTGCAATTGATGATGTGTACTAATATCCACTTATACGATGCAAATAATCTAAATGCAAACTGTAATTACGAATGTGAATATTTTCTATCTTGCGCTGGTAGCTAATTAATAATCTAAATGGAAACCGTAATTACGGATGTAAATATTTTATATTCCATCTTGGGTAACTAATTTGCTTCGATAGTATATATATTAATTTGAATACTCGATTTAATTTTGATACGCGGAGGATATTAAATTCGCCGTCAGCGTTGTAGAGTAAATTTTAACTCTCTTTGGGTTCGTGGTACGGTTCTTAATCACGAGTAATTAAAGTGAGATTTTAAAAAATGATATAAAGTAGAAAATTAGATTTCTTGCTCCGCATTAAAGGTGGAGTGCTTTCTTTTTCACGGTACTGTAGTTAACTATTATTGCTCATGCAATATTAATATCAACACGGTATCTTTCGAGATGATAACAACCGTGCAAAATCTGTTAGGGTGAATGTATGATAGATGAAGACGACTTCACTGTGGTCTACCACCATCGAAGCACTGCTGTATTTTTTTCTAAAGCTTCGTTTCGACTCTCGCGCGTGATTCAAGCTACGGATAACAAGTTTCTGTTCGCGCAGTTAACGCGACAGATACTGGGAAATAAATGCTTCCGATGCCGATGCACATCGAAACGTGTCAGCGAGCATGAACGGTTAGAGCCTAGTCGAGCCGAGGTGAACGCTACTTCTCTTCGATTCGTGCTATATTTACCGACAAGTGACGGAAAGCACGAGCCGGAGCCACACCATGCGCAAGTCACTCAGAGTCTCTGCAAGTACCGCGTCAGACTCGCCGAATGACGCTCCGGGAAAAGCCGATTTTAACGTCAGCCAGTCAAACTTTCCATAGTCGCTGAAACCCGCTACAAATCGATAATCGAGGAATATACAATTTTTTTTTTCGTGCCAGGCTTTCGAGAAAATCGATTTTGTGCCGTTCGGGTCCAACTTTGTTAACGCGTCCGACCATACTCATTATTTCTACTTGTTTTGGCCCCCGCAAACACTCGCCGGCGATGATGCTCGTGTTACTCGTTTTTCGTAGTTCGTATTATCGTGTATCTGGTCCGAACAATATCATTGGCAACGTTTATAAACAATAATGCTAGTAGAATGACCGCACACGCGAGCTAACATGTCCGTGTAGTCATTCGCGCGCGAACCAAATGAATTTTCAAAATTGATTGTTGCCAATACAAAGCCCCGTGTCGTCGCAATATGCCCCGTACATTTAAACAAACTAAACTATATTACGACTGATTGAAACGTGATTCGCGTACACAGAAAAAAATAAAATAGTACGAATTCGGTAAAGTAAATATTTAAACGTCGATATGTGCGTTCTCGTACGTAGTTTGTTGCAACACCGTTTGTCCAATCTATTAATTTTGCTATTCATACTTCGGTATTCCTTGAATATTCTATATCTGTCAATCATTGGAAACGCCACTCCATATTCCAATCACTTGTCTGCCCATTACTTGTAATTTCTACTTGTTTCGAGTGTAAACATTGGCATCGAAACGATATTATTTATTTTCGACAGCTTTTAGCTAATTGGACGACATTATGGTCGACGAAAAACAGATAATAGCACGTAACAAAACAAGTAGAAACAACGAGTATTGGTCAGACACGTTCGAGAGTCAATCTCACGCGAATCCCACGAATAATTAAAATCAATTTTCCCGAAAACGGAGCATCATACGAACCATTTTCGATTCACTTTTCCATGCAGATTTGCCATATTGCCACTTTCATCGTCGGCCAACGGACACTCTGAATATTCTGAATAATTTTTCATTCGGGATCGCTTGCTTAGGCCATTGTTACGCTACGACCAATTTAACGCGAACCGACCATCGCTAGTGGCGTTGGGCGACCACGTCGGCGGTGTTTTGTTCTGGGGATCTACATCGATCATAGTAATTGCTGGTCATCTGTTTGCTCGACGTCGTGCGATACTGGTTACGATCGCCAGCTTCCACGAGATCGCTCGCAATTCAACCACAACCTAAGCAAACGAAATTGGAGTGTAAATCTACAGGTGTTGTCGCTGTAATTAGGGTCGCAACTATAAAATTTGTTAATAGTTTGCATCTTCGGGACTGAGAGGCTCTGATATCTGGTCGATTTATCTTCTTTATTTAGACCAGGATCTGTCAGCTGTCAATTGAGTAGGCAGCTGTCCATTCTAAGATCGAAGCACAATTGACATACTTTTTCTATTTTCTCTAGACAGAGTTAATCGAATGTTACAAATAATTACTGGAAGAATCTGTCGAAGGATCCCGAGTTGACTTCTAACTGACTCCTCGCGTGACGTTCGATTTATAATTCCCTAAATGATTGACCGACGGTTCGTTCGCGAGCTTTTCGCCGACGTAATAAGCGATGCAATTCCAATCAATTCGAATACGCGCAGAATCCGGCGCGCGTTTCGTCGCGACTCGATCGCGGCGCGAGGCTCTCGAGGAAATTGAATTTATAACTCAAAAGGAGCAATTTCGAAAATAGATTGAAAGTTTCAGAGGCAATAAACTTACAGTTAGAGGAACCCGACGTGTGTATCGCGGCAATCTATCGAACAACACCGGACGAAACTTTGCTTCGCCGGTGTTCCGCTTTGATGTTTGTTCTTACCGAGTTGTTCCACGGGAACAGTTCGTTTTGGAAAACAAGTGGTTTTGCACGCGTTTTATTTTTACACGGTTTTTAGTACGCTTCCGCGGAAGCAGCGTTACGTGCTTCGCAAACTTTCAACCGGGCAAGATGAAGGAACGCTCGTCCGGAATTAAGACCGGGTTTTCTTAACGAATAAAGCAACTTTGAGACCCACGACAGCGATAGAGAGCAGTAGGATCGCTAACGGGTATCGCGAGCATTCTCGTGGTCGAGAGATCGTTAAATATGCCACGTTCCTCTCGATTTTTAAGATACGAGAGACAGTTATATTAACTAACCATGAAACCCTTTTCTCCCGACTGCTTCGTATGTGCCGTTTGGCAAGCGGAAATTAAATGAAAATCGCTCGACCCGCTGCTCTGACGGGAAATGAAAATTGAATGGTCACGAACAGAGAGACAAAAAGGGGATGGCTTATAGAATACCGATACATATATGTGGGGAAAAAAGGGGGCCAGCGTAGGTGTGTACGAATGAAAGCAGAAAAGAGCGGAACGCATACGGAAGAAACTCAGGATTTACTATCGTTTCAATTTCTACTGGAAAAATGAAGTTTTCGCTTGTCGATTTTCCAAACCGACGGTATTATTGGTTACGTTATTACATCGAAGTGCTCGTCGTATTATTTCCATCGCTCTATGGATTTCGCTCAAACTGGATCGCAGCCGGATACCTGACTGTCGCTATTTTCATTTCCCCCGTCTCGGTTTTATTTTTTTCCCCCTCGGTCGTAGCGAGTTCTGCGAAGTATTCGGGAATCGATATCGTTGTCAAAATAATCCCCGAGTAGAAATGCAACGTGACCCGCGTCCGTGTTTCCGCTGGCAAAAAAAAGTATCCCGTGATCCTAAAGTACCGGTAATCCCGAACATCGGTATGGCTGTTAAGTTGTTGAAAATCAAGAAACGCGTTGAAACGTAATTTAATACATTTCGATTAATAATGGATCTGAGAATTGTATCGCGTAACGACACTTACGGTTCCAGCACCAGGGTCGGTGATTTTGCAGGGTAAATTGGCGGTACTTCCGCTTTGCGCGAGGACTTCCTTGATGGGACCCTCGATGACATCGTCACTTTTATCTTCGGAGCCCTTCACCGGCACCACTTTGTTATTGGCGCTTAACGATCGTTGATGCTCCGCCTGGCTCCCTGGAAAAAAAAAATATCGAAACCATGTACACGAAGTGTAAATAATGTGCAGCGTTTTATGTACTGCATTAGCGACGAGCAACCTTTCGTTTTTCGACGGGCTGAAATTGAAAACCCAATAATCCGCGCGGGCAGCTGCGACCGTAATTTAAAAAAATCTCGTTTATAGATTTACGAATTTATACATTCTCTTAGTTGATCTATCGATTCAAACATAAATATACGCGCAATCACCAGCTGTTGTCGTTTGAAAAGCTCCATTATTAGATTTTAATTGACGAATTAATTTAACAAATTTAACCTATCGAAAGTTAGATTTCAAAGGTATCTTAAATTTTGTATTCGTTGTTCACGGATGAAATTTGCATGAATCTGCGTGGCAATAATAATTATTAGTCATTAATTATATTACTTGGCACTGATAGGGCTTTGGTTTCTCGATTTGCACAGCACTTCAATGTAATCGCGTGTATCGTACACATAAAGGGTTGGCTGTGATTTATAATTAGCTACATATACACGAATCGTCCGTGACTGTGATACCTTGTCATGATAGTGGAACTAGTGGAATTGTTCATCGTTAAACCGGATAAATTTTCAAGACTGTCCGGAAGCACCAAAAAACGACGGTAGACACGAAAGCTCCGAAAGCTGCTAGCTCTAAGGCCTAAGCAAAGCTACAATCGGAGATTAAGGATGAATTCTGTGGTTCTTGGTTGGCAATGGGCACAATAGCGTCGCGGGGTCGAGAGGAATTCTCTCTCGCCTCAAGATTAATGTAACCCTCGTCCCAACGATAACGCATAACCCGGGTGCAGCGTAAGTGGCTTAAATGAATAACTTAGTCAGGACAATTACGTGGCTTTGGTCCGCGTTTACTGCAACCGTGCTGTTACAAATCTACCGGGGCTCCCGCGGGAATTCACTTTGAAAACACTTAAACATCCAAAGCGTTTTCCAGGTATCATTCCCAGCGTCGATTGCTCCGGCGGCCGCGTATCGATTGCGCTTACGCTTACATGATATGCGCATATCTTTCCCTGAAAATACGGGTCGGGATCGGTTTCCGCGAAACCGGCAATCGAACGTTACGAAAAGTCTTTAAAAATGATTAACGACGCTCTTACGCGTTACGTTACGTTAAGTAACACCGAGACTGTGAATTACAATCTGTCTATGACGGATGTTTCGAGCGCATTTCGGTCGTCAGCCTCGATTGCGTTAAAATGCAATAAGTCGCGCGCGCGCTCGAAATTCGCTCGCTGCATAATAAGATTCCCGTGGATGCATACTCGGGGCTGGTTGTTGTATAACGTATAACGAGCCTCTATTTATCCCGCGTACTTGAGCCGTGTACACGATGAAAACGTCGGCAATTAGCTCTCGTTACCCTGCTCGGGGCTCGTTCGACGGTTCGTTAAACCTGACCTGCTTCTCCGAGCCCGCGAATCGTCCCGCTCACGGGGACCAAACGCTCAAGGAGGGATTTCGTCACGTGGCGGGCTCGGGATCGCACGCGAACGCGAACGTGGCCGCGGAAACGGCGCATGTGCACGCGATCGTAGATCGAGCCAGCGGTTTTCTTCCGAGACGACCGGCTTTGTTCTTTCTTCCGACAGTTCGGCCTAGATTCGCGTCTCCCCCCGGAAGCACCCGCGATTTATTGCGTTTTTATTGGCACCGTCGCGCACATTCGACCGTATAATTTCCTTCGACTCCGCCCTCGGAGTGCCCGGATAATTGAAAAGTACACTGGCGAACGTCTCCGACTCGGTTTACACGCGCACTTTATCGATCTCTTGTTTGCACACTCCCCCGCTGTTTCTACACGACCGAGTCTTAATTGTCCTTCCGTGGAATCGAGATTAGCGAACGTAGGACATTTTCGAACAATAACTCGAGGGCGTTGCTCCGCGCTCAGCCCTCTGAATAATTTCTATGAAGGCAAAGTCGTTTCCGGCTTCAGCCTCGTCGATGATACTTAACACCCTGGTATTTTATGCGAGCCCCGGCGTGTCCTGTCGCGTTACGAGCTCCCTCGGCCGCTGAAAGCACCTTCTCGTTCGGCATTATCGTCTTTTTACGATGTACACACCGATATCGGCGAGGTACCGCCGTGTGCGGCCCCTGCGACGTACTTTGTAGCCGCACGTGTGAACGGACAATGCACGGTGCTCGATAAACTCGCAGCCAGCTTTTCCCTGGCTGCTACGAAACCACCCCCATGGAGCCAGACGGTGTCGCCGATATCGACTTTTAGAGAGCTTTAAAAAAATCTCTCAAGGATCGCGTAAACCCTAGCAAGCGTCACGGAGATGTTTGCGTCCCGGTGGACACCAGTTCCCACCTCTCTGCATCCGACAGTTGCGTACGTAACACCCACCGAAATGTCGCGCGATATATTCAAATTCCAAGGGGAACAACTACCGACGTACCTCGAGGCTGGACATTTTTTTTAACAAACTCCCACTCCCGTTTTTCGAATATAATTTCAAAACACCTCGGGTTTCCAATTTCCGACGAATATTTTTTACCGTACAATCAACGTAAATAAATGAATATTCATCAATGACAAGCTTTATAAAATGTTCTTTAAATGTTCGGGAATATAATTAATTGGAACCTTCAACAATGCAAACAAAAGCTTGTATTTTTACCTGTACTACTAGTTACCATGTCAAAATCGTCGTAAAAAGCGAAATGTTTCCTGGATTAAAACTTTGACAGCAACAGTTTCGATGTAACGAAAAATGTTCAAACGATTTTGGTTTGATATTTTAGTCCAGTATTTTATACGTGCACAAACATCACCGCCATATGCATTCAAACTTCCATCATAAAACAAAGTTGAACGACTATCAAGTTTATTCGTATCGCGATACTTTTAATTGATATTTGACTTCCGTCAAAAACAACGAGAAACGCGTACAAATTTTTAGTAATATGGACCGAGGCCTCTATTTCTCTTGAATTTTGCAAAAGATTGCGAAAGTTAGACGATTTAAAAGGGATCCGGTAACGATTGCCAACACGACGATGGAACGAAAACCGATATATTCGGTTTAACGTTACGATAAAACACAATTATCCGTGGACACGTTCCAGTAATTGCTCTTTATTTATATTTTCCGATAACGCGATGAGGGATCTACGCGCTCGCGGAGCACGAAATCGAGTTTATGGCAGCTGGCTCTGAACGCGTCAATGATAACGAATCACTGCGTCCTACAGTCGTATCGTGCACTGTACGTTTTACGAGCCTTAAATCCTTGAAAGTGCTCCTCTCGCTAATACACTTGCAAGATGTTTAAATCATTCCGATCCTTGACGAACAAAGGGTTGCTCGGAGGAACGACAGAAGTATCAGATCTGGGAAATCTATCGCGTCGGAAATGAATTTGCATCTCTCTCGACGCTGTATCAAACAGAATGTAAATCCCTATAACCAACGTCGAAACAAGAATGCCCAAGTGCGAATAAAATCATGGAGAATTGGTCGCAAATCGGGCGCGACTCTCGAAATGGAATCGTTCCAGGATTAGTGGAATTGCTTAAAATTAATTCCGGGCAATTGCGGATCGTAAAATGGCCGAGCAACGAAGGCTACTGCGAGTTTAATTAAAGTTTCAATTAGAATCGGAGTCTCCAAGGTGCTTTGCGCGTATGTAGATCACCGTTTCGGGGGTCCAAGGAGAGGATTAAAAATTTGCCAGTCGTCTGTGATCGATCGACGGGGAACCGTGACCGAGGACTTTTCGCGAGCAGAATCGATAAAACGATTCGACGAATAAATTCCTGGCCAGGGTAACGACTCCGGCCGAGAAACGAATGGTTTATGGCCGTCGGAAAGTTTCTGTCGGTGCTAACGAGCCAAAAGTTTGTGCGGTCTTCAAGAACACGATAACCGGATATTACTTGTCAGCCATCAACTGGCACAGTGAATAAAGTGTTTTCTGTGTCAGCACGAAAATGACTTGCTGATACGCGAACGCGGAAGAGCTTTCCGTCGTGAAAGCACACATTCGAACTTCCCACTTCAGTCGACCGTGATTACTGCGAGACGTTGTTACATAGAGTAGATCGGCTCCCTTAAAGCACTGTTCCCGCCTAACTGACACTAACGCTTCGTTTAGATGTATCACGCAGTCTATATAACGTACAACCGTCCCTGATTTATTTAACGAATTCCACCAAGGCATTCCCTTTGTTAAAAAAATCCTTCACGTAATAGATTTCTGCTCGTAGATCTCCCCGATGTTTCTTCCGAGGTAATTCTGAGTATCTTGTTTCTTACGCTAATGAAAAACATGATAAACGACAATACTTACCAGTGAAATGAAGATGTATTTCCAGGAAAATGCTCGCCAGGATCAGGAGCGTTCTCATGGTGACAATTAATTTGTAGCGTCGTTATTTCAGACGTTCATTGTACTTGTCTGCAACAAACAGAAAGAAATACAATAAAAATGCGTCCCTCGTTTTTCTACTCGACGTTTAACAAGTTGTCTTACATTTTTAATTTATTAGTTGCAATTTGTGAGTCGTGGAACATTCAACTTTGAAAACCTGTCGATCTCAGAAGATCGTAGGAGGGCAGAAACGTATGAAAACACGTATAAGTCTCTACCGGTGAAATACCATCGACTACAAAACTATAACAAGTTTCTTGGCTCGCGATACGCTTCCTCTGCGATTTCGCGTCTCATCCTCGTGCGCGAGTTCAAGTCCCCTGTAATCGATATGGGTTTAAGTAGAAGGGCCTGTGACCCTTAAACCCTCTCTGTTCAGCTCCAAGCTTTCTCTATAAGTAGCTCGCTATCGTCAAGTGTTTTCGACAAGGGAAAGAAGAACGGAAAAATGGATCGCGGAAAATTCCCATGGACAACAAATCCTCGTCCGTAGTAAAACCGAAAGGGGTAGTGATTTTCCGTGCGAGAGTAAATTGAAAATTTGGAATAAAATACTGTCATGCGAGGCTTTGTTGCCCGGAGTGGCTATCTCGAAAATTCGCCGGGAAAATTGCGCGACAGATTTTTAATAACGCGGTGTTGGAGTTCATAGAGAAAACAATAAAAATCACGGTCATGCGCAGAATAAAATAACTCTACGGAACGTAAGTGTTTTAACACAACAATTTGGAAGATGTGCAAAATTACTTTCGGCAAATTCCTGGTTCGATATGGAGATTGTAGTGTTATAAGAATCTTGAAAATAATATAATTCTTGGTGCGAATACGGAGGCAAATATTCAGAAATACGGTATGTGAAATCTAAAATCAAATTACAAATTCGTTTGGGGTGTCGTCGAACCAATGGGAATAATCGATACTCCTTTACCCTCGGGTCCCTTTAAATATTTAACAGGGCGTCTGATAGCGTGCCGCAATGGGTTAGGCCGTAGGGCCGCAGAAATTGCACGAGTTTTCTGATACTATTTACATAGAGTCCACGATCGATTCTTCCTGTAAACACGTGGCGAAGAGACACGCTTAAACTTACCACCAACACATCCTATCGAATGTTTCATTATACAAACGCCCCTACAAGTAGAGATACACCCCCAAAGAAGGTACAGAAATCTATTCCATTTTTTTTGCCAACCCTCCCTGTGCACGAAGGGCCTCGACGCCTTCAACAATAGTAATTTCCCTGCCAGTATGGTTTGTAAATACAAACGCGTCGCCGGGTGTCTAAGATTTATAGAACCCGTAAAGCCAGAAAATTCATTGCGACGGTAGATGTGGCGGCTTGTTACGGTTGATTCGACGGGCGTAACGCGAACACCGTGTACACGCTCGTCGAGTTAACGCCAACAAATTTGTACGAGCATTGCCAAACCCACACGAACGCGCAGTCAACAAATCTGCAAAGATCCAATAAATTTCGATTCGAAAAAATCTCCACGAACGGAGTTCGCAGGTACGTACGCGTCTATCGAAATTCAGCGTCGATTTATCACCCGCGTCAAGCACGTTTCAACCATTGCTTTTGCACTGAGTTTTCACTTCGCGGGCTGCAATCTTCTTTGGCCTCTCAATATTTTGTTTCCTTCCTCTTTTCTTCGTTAACTACGAAACCATTACACGAACAAACGTTTCTTTCGTACACCTTCGAACGGGGGTGACTTTTCTCAATTTTCAAATTACAGTACCTATCCTCTCGGGTAACTCGCGATTTCTTTAATTTAAATTTATGATCGTTCAGCGTTTGTCAACGAATAAATTGATTCTTTAGATCTGAAACCTCTGTGACACCCCCGCAGGGTGTGTCGATGTACACACTGCTTTCATTAAGCGATGATCAAGGGTTTCCGTGGAACAGCAAGGACATTATTAGTACAGCACGAAGGGACAAACGCTTCTTGAATTGAATATTGACAGGCGTCGAGAATATCTGTCACTGACTCTGAAAACGTCGATGAACAGGAGCAGATACGATGATATATTGAAGCTATCAAAGTCACTAGGGTGTATTCGAGGCGATCCTGAAATCGGTGCTTTAGAACTCCTCGCGTTCATTGCTTGATCGTTCCAAAAGTTGTATCGGCGAACAAGGAACATTTAGAACACAGAGAAAGTTATCTATCGATCAGATTATATATGTAAAATATAAATAATCTCTATAATAGGAAATAAAACGTCCATAATATCAGCCCGTTCGACAATATCAATTTCAACACTATTCTGCCTCGCTCGTTCAATTTTTGATCGCGACATCAATTATTTACTTTCTCCAATTTACCTCAAATGATTCGCTTTTCCTATTAATCTGACGGAAAAACATCGAGCGTGAAATTTTTAGTAGAAATAATTGCTCCTGTCGGCGAAAATGCGTTGTAATTCAAATCTCTTCTTTTTTTCGCGAGCGGAACGGACGAGGATGGCGATGATAAATCGCGAATTAAAGCAACGACACCGACACGACATTTTTCCCAGCCTTCGAAACGTCTAATCGGATTTTTTTTTTTTTTGCTCGCTGCCCGTCTCTAACAAACGGTCGTATCCCCGAATTCGCAGTTTCCCGTGCACACAAAAGGCGTCGGTGGCAATATTCAATAGCTCGACGGACAAAAAATATCGCTGCGGCGGGAGAAAAAATAGAAAAAAGAAAAAAAAAGGTAACAAAATATCGCTGGCTTATCGGTGTTTGCATCATCACGGTATTTCCCGCGAAACTAGCGTGTTCCCGTTCCCCAATTTATTTCCGCGTTTACCCACACTTACCGTTCGAACGCTCCCGCAACGGTTCACGCTTGCGATTCGCGCGAACTTCCGAACGCGGCGTGCCATTATATCTGGTCATTGTATTCTATTTGTCGCGCATATGCGCAATCCTGCGGTTATTCTCGCCGCTGTCGAGCAAACACTCAAACCGAGACTTCTCAATGCCGTCTGGACGATTCCACGAAACAATTCCCAGCGTTCGCAGCGCCGGACATTTTCATTTCACGTACATTTCGTTCGAGCGTAGACTAAAACAGATTCTCAGAAAGAATTAAATTTCACGTCAAACATCTCGAGCAAACGTTTCCCCCATTTTCTGTAGAAACGAAAATTGTATAAATTTGTTCGGCCACTATCAGCAATTGTTCAAACGAGCAGAAAATCTTAAACACAATTTCGTGACGGCTTTCTGCCAGATCTTTGTTCGTGCAATCAACCCCTAGAATGTTTACCCGCCAGTAGATAAACATCCTGCATAAATATTATTATTATACAGAGAACTCAGCAACAGGTGTCAGAAACTTTAAGGCGTTATGTACCAAAATAAGACGAGGTCAAGAGTGACGATATTGCGTTCGAGGTTCTTTTACTTCCTGACCTATATAGTCGAAAGCTGTTTCATAATCGCGGGAGGACATTTTTCAGTCGTGCCAACAACAGTTACTACGCCGTTATATCGCATGAAAACATGTGTGCTCGCTACGACTTGATTTATATCGGAAGATATAAGATCCGCGCAAAATTAGACGTTTTACGTTGCACACCGTTTCTGCATGCAGCTCGAACGTTCGTCGTTCAACAAGAACGATGGAATAAATTATTTCTTCCCCGTGTCTGTTATTTCCCTGCAAGCGAACCGTGCATCCACGTCGGTCGAGGGATTCTTATTACGAAAATTGCAACTCAAAGGGGATGAATTCTTTAATAGCAACAAACACCGTATATTTAAACGCAAGTAAACTTAACTACACTAACGCCTTTAACTTCTCTTATCTAACTGACCATTTAACGAATGTATTTGAAGTTTGAATTTTAAAAAATAATTAAAAATTTATAACGTACTAAAAAGTAAATTAATAAATTGAATTGTTTTGGAAGTGATCATCCTGCTTTTTGTGTATAGAATTAATTTAAACACAAATGAAAGTAACGTACAACGAGAATTCAACTTGCCCAACGCGCGCGTACCTGACAAATTTTCAAAGTCGTTTTTCAGGAGAACAAAGCCACGTATGATAAAATGTTATTGTATATTTTCGCGTCAGTTTTTCACGTAGTATCGCCATATTGTCGTTTGTACCGTTGGTCGCCGGAGCATCCGTTATATTCTTTAAAATGTAGCCTGGGATTTTATCGACATCTTCGCAACGCTGACTAGTCATAACGTTCTTTGTCGAATATTTTCCCTATTCTTTCGAAACCGATATCAACGCATAAACGTTCACTCGATTCTTTGTGCAACGAAGGTAGTTATCTCGTTACTTTTTCTCATATTTTTCAGCCTCGCGGCGGGATCACGAACGGAGCAGTCGCCCGGTAAGCTGAAATGCACTGCACCGAGCATGCAAAATGCATGCGAGCTGATAGTCGCGCGTGTTTGTGTAGATTATAAGGGCGCGGTCGGGCGTGGATGGAAGGAACGACGCTCATGGTAATGATCTCAGTCATACGGTTTCGCGGTGATAGCCACCGGCGCTATTTACATACTGATACGAACGTCGTCGCGAAAGTTTCTGTAATCAACTCGTCGCGGAGATGAACAGGGGATCCCTGCTGGATCGTCGCCGGGAGAGTTTAAATTGTACGCGTGCAAAATATGCGAAACGAGAGGATGGAAGTTGGGGCGATAACGAATGCGATGGACGAGCCGGTAGGGGTAGGTGGGCGACGAGGGTGGGCCGGTGTAAAGACATTAAGCCGATTTCAGGTTAAACGAGCGTCCCTCCTTCCGTTTTCCCTTCGTCTTAAGCGCGAGCAAGCCTCGCGGCTCCGCCGGCCGCGGATTAATGCTCGTTTTATTCCCTGAATAATTTAAATGGAGCATGCATTTGTACTCCTGTATTTGCGCCCCGACCGGGAGCGGAAAACTTGGCTGAATTAAAAACGGCCACCGTGTCGAAACGCGCAGGAAAGTTTGAGGGCTGCGCCCGCTAAAACGTTACGTCGGTGTAAAACGAAAACACGATCGAGATACTTTTTCATTCAAAGGATAT